AGTTTTGTGGTTGACTTCAAGTTTCAGGTCAATTATGCAAAAAGCCCAGAAACTTTACCCGAATTGTTGAATTTCTACAAAAAAATTAGTTTGGCCTATTTCAACATAAGATAGTTTGGCTCGTTTCAACATTAGAAAAATAATTATTTTGACAAAAAAATCAATATAATTAGGATAGAAATAATCTGCTCATTTTCACAAGTAGAAATCACCTGCTTCATTAAGAATAATATCTATGAAATAGTATACAGAAATCATAAAAAATTGATTTCGAACCATAGAAAGAAAAACATTTTAACTGAATATTAATATTTAACAAAAATTACCAAATTTCAGCAAAAAAAAAAATCTAACGATAATGGGTTTACCACATCCTCGGCCACTCGCTGATTGGTCAATCTCTCCAAATTAGATTCCATAGGCATAACTTGTAGTATATTGCAAAAACATTAGTCTATCTAGAAAATAAATGAAACATATAAATATATTGACAAGTGTCTTCGTAATCTTTCTCCACAGACTTTCATTGAATCTCTTTTTTCTTCCCTCCCTAATCGTTGATCGCTTCTCATTTTCCTCAAGCTTTCAATGCAGCGTTGTTGACAAGACGCGACTTCATAATGGATGCAGCGACGGTGTCCTTCGTGTCCAAAGCTAGAACTGCCTTCAATTCCGCCGCGGCTAAAGCGGAGAGAGTCTTCACTGATCTCAAGTCCCATCGAGGTAATCTCTTTCCCTCTTCACCTTCTCTTCCGCTTTCATTTTTATTTTATTTATTTATTTTTTCATAATTTCCATTTACTAAAATTTGACTGATGCATATACGCTTATCTCTCGACCTTTGTTTTCAATCCCTTTTCTCCTGTTTTTTCGTTTTTGGTTGAGTCATATTCTATTTTGGGGTTCTGTCTCGTGTCCAAACTCAATTCTATTTCTACTCTTGTTTTTTTGTTTGGTGATGATCATTCTTAACTCGAGTGTTTTTTGTTCTGTAACTAGGAGAAGAGGAGGAGCAACCAACGAGGAATCAGAATTACTCTAAGGTAAAGACACTTATGGTCGTCCCTGGAATAATAAATTTCATAGTTTCGTTTTTTAAAGGATGATGATGTGAAGATTGTATATATATTTCAAAGGATTTGACATGTATTCATGCTTTGAGATTTGACAGTGGTAAGCTAGTTTTTTTTTTTGCTCATTCCGGTAAGAAAATTGCTGAACATAGTTGTGTGTTTATTTTGGGATGTTGTGAAGAATAGTAGTTTACTTGAACCATTTTCAAAACTGTATAGCAAAAAAAAAAAAAAAAAAAAAAAAATCAGCANGTAGTTTACTTGAACCATTTTCAAAACTGTATAGCAAAAAAAAAAAAAAAAAAAAAAAAATCAGCATTTCTTGGCCGTTTCATTTTTCATGATGAGTATGTGAGTGTTGTCCATATATACATTTCTTTGGTTTTTGCTAATTGGAAGTGTTGTGCACACAGGAGGATAATGAAGTGAAGACTCAGGGGTGGAGAACTGCACATATTAGGAAAAAGCAAGAGTGGCAAAATAAACTGAATAACTTAAGAATTGGGAGGAGGAAAGAAGTCGAAGAAGATCAAGACAAAGTTGAGTATTCAACCATGGCTATACCTTTTTATGACGCAAATTTATACATTCTCAAAGCAAAGCAAGAACAAGAAGCCAAGGTATTCTATGGTCTACCTTTTTAGATCACTCTTGCTACTTGGGGATTTGCCAAAGCATGTCAATTTGTCTTTCTTTAGTCAAAATTTTGTTAGATGATTACTTTTCTTTGGCAATTTCTAGGCATCTGATGTCGGCTACTTGGTAGAGACACTAAATGCTGTTGATGTGAACAGTATTCCTCGAGCATCCATTGTAAAGCAGCTGGCTGTAGCCATCAAGTAAGTAATACATATGAAAAAGATTCGGTTATACTTTTGCTCTCCTCTCTCATTATCTCCTAATGAGTTCTTCCTTGTTTTCTTCAGAGCTGGGAAAGGGGATAAGACTATGAAAGACTTCGTTGCACCGTCTGGAAATTCATCACCAGTGAAGGAGAAGGTGGGCTTGAGCCTCTCTGCCGTGAAATCACTGGTTCTTGGTGAACAAGAGGATAAACTTGGTTTTGATTCAGGAGATGAGAAAAAACTTGTTTCTCTAATAAACTCCTTGTTTAATGCTGGTAAGTTTGTTTGGAAATATTTTATTTCATCAAACAACAGTTACTGCTATCTGTTTTTTAATTTTTGGCAAATTATTTACAGATGGTAACTTCCTCATCAGAATGATTGTATCTGATTTGGGTTCTCCTAGCAACAGAGTATCTTTCACAAAAGATCTTCATGCTGCTCCCCCTGATAGCTTTGTTGTTAAGCTAGCTGAAGTCATTGGAAGTTTCTCAACACCAAGGAGAATGGCTTTGTTCTGGTTCAAAGTTGTTAATGAAGTAAGTTATTTTTTTTGGCTTTAAAATATTTGATAAACTCTCTCAAATCATGTACACGTGTGCAGTTGAGGAGGTTTTGGGATGAGGAGAAACACATACCATGCATACCTGTGGACGAGAATCCAGACTTGAAAAGTTGTCTGCTTCACCAGTGGCTACAGGTTATAAACTGCTGTCTTGAAAGGAGAGCGCGCTGCATAGCTGCTTCTGAAGCATTAGATGTTGCAATGAGCCAGGCCAGTTCAGGCAATGATGAGTCTGACAATTCAGAAACTATGGGTTCTCCGGTTCCTCTTTTGTATGCTAAAAATAGCACAGGAGAACTCGTACTCCGGTTAGGCGCCGACCACCAAGTTGAAAACTTAACAATGTTGGAAACTGGTGAAGCTGTTTATGCCCCAGTAACGCAGGTTAGTTTAACTTCCAACATAGTTGAAAAACACCTGTTGTTACCTTCTCGATCTCTTATGTTCTAGTGTTTTATATGTAGGATGGTCCTCTGTTGACAGAAGATCTTATTAAAGAAACAGAGGAACTAGTATTGAGGACAGGGAGGTGAGTGTCATTGAATACTTGATCAATCTGCTTATATCCTGAGTAACAGAAACAATGTGTTAACATTTTATCTGGTTTACTAATGACTATTTCATTCACCAACATATCAGACATTTTTCAAACATCCAATTTTCTTGATAGATTTTATTGTTGTCTTTGTTATGGTTTCAGCATGGGAGCTGGATGTTCTCAACTCTTGTCTGACATGCAGGCTTTCAAGGTGTGAATAATCAATTTTACTGATGTGGTGGTTGGTGTATCACTGCTCATATTAGAGGGTTGCTTATATGAATTTTGATTTTGTATATGTATATCTATTATGATAGGCAGCAAATCCTGGATGTACATTAGAAGATTTTGTGAGATGGCACTCTCCACCAGACTGGACTGAGAATGATACTTCTTCTGGAGATGACTCTTCTCCTCCACGAGGTCAACTAAGTATCCGTATGCAAAAAGCAGGTTCAAACCTTTTCTCCTATGGTTAAAACATAATATTAATCTTATCAAGTCTTGGTCTCAACTTTCTTTTGCAACGTTTATGTTATTATCAGGTAATTTGTGGCGTGAGCTGTGGGAAACTGCTAAACCATTGCCTGCGGTTAAACAAACACCACTCTTTGATGAAGATTTAGCTGTGTAAGTGTTAATAATATATCACCTTAATTAGCAACAGTGGATTCTGTATTTAATAATATATCACCTTAATTAGCAACAGTGGATTCTGTATTTGATCATTCATTAAACTTATCACAGGGAAGGGATCTTGAATTCTTTGGAAGACATTCCAGCTGCTGAACTTTTCGAGCAGCTGTTTATTTCTCTCGTAAGTTTTACCCCATTAAATTGCATAATATTCTCTCTTTTACTTTCCGTCTAAAAGAATAGTCCTGGATTTGGTATATGCAAAATTTTATAAAAAAATGTGTATACAGGTTGCACTAGGATTTGTGATGGTGGAGCCAGTAATATCCACAAACGATGACTTGTCAAAGCTATTCTTTGAATGTAAGGATTATGTAGTGGCCATTTGCGAAGGAGGCGCATGGACCGATAAGCTTGATGATCTCTGCCAGGTATGTACTATTAACTCTCTATGCACATAATCAAAACCTTGTATAAATGATTCAAATTTTTTGATGCAGCAGGTATCTGCTTAATAGAACTTAAGAATGTTTTTTATTAACAAATGGCAAAAGTAAAAGGCCATGTGGATATAAGAACAACCATGATCACTAATCATATACATTCTAATTCCGTTAAAGCTTTGGTCTGTTTTAATTTGATATAGGTGTATGAAATGGTGGAAACAATGGTGTTACGTCCAGAGAAAGTGTTGAGATCAATGAAGCAAACAGAGAAGTCGCTATCAGGCGGCGGGAACGGAACAAAACAGCGGTTCAAGAAGCTCAGTTTCATCTTCCGTGGAAACCAGAAAAGAGTTCCATCAGAAACTGAACATAAAAGTATCAATCCCGCTCCAGCCGTTTTCTGGTCTTTTTGATGTAAAGTCGTTTCTGTTTGCAAAGAGACCTGAAAATGGGACTCTTGTCTGAATCCTTTTAAACTTTATTTTATATGGTTTTGAGTCATTTCTAAATATTTTTGTTTTGTTATGGGTTTTTAGGCTGTTAAGTTGATCAATTGGTTGGTAATTGACTAATTGTATATCTAAATGATTCAAAACAGTTCTGAGAAAGGAACTTGTATTTTGATGAAAATGAAAATCAATAAGATTTGTTTATGTCTTATGTAATAAACATCTGTGTTCGAAAGAACCTCTGTAAAAAAAAAATTATATGTTGAGGACTTGCGGGAAGCTTCTGAACTTGTGTTTAGGTCATATGGACCCATGGCCATGGGGGGCGGCTGCCATTATTGAAACGGCAGCGTTTTGAACTTTCTCTCTATTCATACAAGCCAAATATTCATTTTGAGTCAGAGAAAGGAAGCTTGGCGACACGTGGAAGAAACTTACCATATTCTCTCGCGACTTGCTCAAAGCTCCAGAAAAGTCATACGCTTTTCCCCACTCCTCTCTCTTTCCCATTTCCTTTCAATTCTGCAAACCCTAACTTTCTCTCATTCGCCGCTGAAAGTTCTCCTTGGTAACAATCCAATCTCTCTCTCTCTCCTGTGTTCTTGATTCATTTTTTTTTTATGTTTTGGGTTTTGCGTGAAGGGACATAGGACAGTTTACGAATCTGATCAAAATGTTTTTTTTTTTACAAATGGCTTTTGGCATGATTAGTTTCTGATTTTTGGAGAAAGTATTGTAATGAACATTTCATTTCTTGTTTTGTCTGTTTTGTGCGATTACTATTAAGTTTAAATCTCACCGACAACTATTGATTTTTATTACAGAAGATTCGTTGGGAGCGATGATGTTGCGTGCTGTCATAAGGAGAGCTTCAAGTAGAGCCTCTTCTTCTTCGGTTAGTCTTCCTCTTTTTTTTTTTTTTTTCATTTAGATCCGTCCATGTTTTGTGATTAGATCACTTCATAAATATGATTGTATCTCTCTTTCAGGGATTTGGAAAATCACTACAATCATCTCGTGTTGCATCAGCCTCTGCTCAAAGCTTTCACTCTGTTTCATCAACACAGGTACGTTCCTTCTTTGATTCTGTTAGTTCTTTGTATCCAGATTCGAGATTATGTTTCTTTTTTTTCAATTTTGTTTTGCTATTTGTTGAGAAGTTATTTATTTTGACTCTTATTTTTATGAATTGTACAGACTCTGGTACCTCGTGGAAACCATGCTCGTAGCTTCCATCATCGTTCTTGTCCAGGTTTTTTTTTTTTTTTTTTTTAATCACGGAGCCTTGTTATTGTGGGGGTTTTTTTGGCTCCTTTAGTTGACAATTGTTCTGTTATTTTCGTTTTTTTCTGCAGGGTGTCCAGATTGTTCCAGGTTAGTATCCTCAGTTTTGTCTTGTTCATACAGGATCTCCGACATTTCTTGTATTTTCGGCCGTAACCAGTTTTATATTCATGTGTAGTAGGACTGTGTCCAGCAGCTTTCAAGGCACAGCACTGAAAAGATGGGTCAGACCCTTTTCATCTGATAACGGTATGTTTTCTCTAGCTGAAGATTTTCTGTTGTTTCGACTTTCTTAGTTCGTTTCGCATGCTCTGGAACCCCACAGTAGCTTAGCTAAGTGACCTTGTATAACTATGATACATCTCAGCTCAGTTAACCGAAAATATTAATTTCATTTCTTGTTCAGACTTTGTAAAACGTGTGGTTCATTTGTTTTTGTTTGTCTCTACTGTTGCCGTAACTTGTATTTCTAGGCTTTTTTGTGACTCTTTCGTGTATATGTGATTTGAAGGGGATGTTGTTGAAGCTGTTGTGCCTCACATGGGTGAATCAATCACTGATGGAACCTTGGCCAACTTTCTCAAGAGTATGTTTTTCTTTCCATTATCATCTCGTTGTTTCTTTAAGTAGCGTTATGTAAATTATTTCAATTGTTGGTGCTTGCTTCTTATAATGTTCTTGCAGGACCTGGTGACAGAGTAGAGGCTGATGAGGCTATTGCACAGATTGAAACTGACAAGGTATCATACAATTACTTTCATTATCATCTGTAGATTCTTTTTTTCTTTTCAGGTTTCTGGCGTAGCTTTTCTGATATTTTTATTTGATTCATCTGTGCGCTTCAGGTGACAATAGATATTGCTAGCCCAGCAAGTGGTGTGATCCAAGAGGTAGAATACTAGTGTTATTTTATATCTCCTGTTATTCTTCTCTTGTGTTGCTATGCCTAATTACTTTTATCCTTATATGCAGTTTCTTGTCAAGGAAGGAGATACTGTAGAACCAGGAAACAAAGTAGCTATCATTTCAATGTCTGCGGACTCTCATGTTGCACCCTCAGAAAAGGTAGCAGAGAAACCTGCTGCCAAGCCTTCTCCTCCTGCTGAGGAGCCTAAAGTTGAAAGTAGTAAAGTTGCAGAGAAGCCAAAGGCACCATCACCTCCACCGCCGACTAAACAGTCAGCTAAAGAACCGCAGCTTCCACCTAAGGATAGGGAAAGACGGGTATGCTAACTCTGTCATCTAGTCTTCACTTGTTTTTAATATATCTGTTCCTTTTGAAAAACCTATTTACAAACATTGCAGGTTCCTATGACAAGACTTCGCAAGCGTGTGGCAACTAGGTTGAAAGACTCTCAAAACACTTTTGCCTTGCTTACAACTTTCAATGAAGTTGATATGTGAGTTAACCAATGTTCATATGTCTCTTATCATTATGCAAACTTTTAGTTCACCAACTTAAGTTTCCTTTCTCATGTAGGACTAATCTGATGAAGCTCCGATCTCAATACAAGGACGCATTCTTTGAGAAGCACGGAGTGAAATTGGGGCTTATGTCTGGTTTCATCAAAGTACGCTTGAAATGTTTACTGAACTAATTAACTTATCAGAACTCGACAGATAAAGTAATCTTTCTTTAACTGTTTGTTTCAGGCTGCTGTTAGTGCCCTCCAGCACCAACCAGTAGTAAACGCAGTTATCGATGGAGATGATATCATTTACAGAGACTACGTAGATATCAGTATTGCTGTTGGTACCTCTAAGGTATGTTTCCGCATTTCATCTCGTCATAGAGAGATCCAAACATTGATTATTTTTCTATCTATTTTCTAGGGTCTTGTGGTTCCAGTCATCAGAGGTGCTGACCAGATGAACTTTGCTGACATTGAGAAAACGATAAACTCTCTAGCCAAGAAGGCTAATGAAGGAACCATATCAATCGACGAGATGGCTGGAGGATCATTCACAGTATCTAATGGTGGTGTCTATGGAAGTCTCATAAGCACTCCTATCATCAACCCTCCTCAGGTTCGGTTTGATCCTCTCATCATACTAAAAACTGAACATAGAAACGGTTTCTTTTGTTCCCTTTACTAACGCAACAATGTGTCATGTGTAGTCTGCTATTCTTGGAATGCATTCAATCGTGCAACGTCCAATGGTTGTGGGAGGAAGCGTGGTACCAAGGCCGATGATGTATGTTGCGCTGACATATGATCATAGGCTGATTGATGGAAGAGAGGCTGTGTATTTCTTGCGCCGTATTAAGGATGTTGTGGAAGATCCTCAGAGGCTCCTTCTCGACATATGAAGACAGTAGAGATCACAAGTCTCTTTATCTTTTTACCAGTTTCATTTACAGAGATTTTGCTATCTGTGAGAAAAAAAAGAAGCAAAACAAAACTTTTATGGGAGTTTCTTGATAGTTCCAAGAGTTTCTACCCGGGCTGAGGAAGCATCGGTGTATTGAGTTTTTTCTTTTATTCATATAATACAGTTTAAACAAAATGTTACAATTTTGATTTAAAATAATGCCACTGGCTTTTATTGGATAAAAATGATTTTTATTTCCGTAGTGATTTTTATGAAGTGGAGAAAAATTCACGATATTGTAATTTATGACATCTTAAGATTCTGATTGTCTGCTCCTTTGGCTACTTACAGTGACACTCTTCGGTGGTAACTGGTAACCACCATGGCGGCATGGCCTAATTCTCACGCGAACTTCAACCTTAAAAGCTCTTTTTGTTTTGGTCGGCACGGATCAATCTTCAGACTACTTGGACACATTTAATGTTTGGGAGTCCCTGCTCCACTACTTACAAAGTTCAAAATAGTTTTTATTGCAATGTTTTTAGGTAATATAATTGGTGTGGTGGTGGATGTGATGTGCAGAGATGCTTCTATGTACATAAATAATGTCAAAACTAGATACATCCTTATATACAATATTATAAACAATTATGTTTCCTATTCTATATTTAGTAACCAAACAGTTAATTTAACATTAAGGTGAACTGTAATTGGTTCATGAAAAACGATAAAACATTATAAACTAAGTCCAACCTCAATCATAACTTCTTCATATCCAATTTGCAGCGCCTAAAGTTTGATTTCTCAGCTATATTTTATATTATCAAATCTAAGATCTATAAGGTTTTGTGAACTTGATCAAAATATCTAGTCTATTGGATTGTATTAATGTCATATTTATATACAAGAAAAAAAAAATTTAGACCTACATCATAATCCATTAATATTAATATATTAGGATATTTCGTTGAACCAAACACACTTGTACCAATAACGGTTCGTTGGAGTCTTGCGTGTGAGCCAATGACATACATGATAGTATGATACATATAAGTTAATTATAGAACACAAGAAAAATATAAATATATAGGTTCGTTAGAAAGAAAGCGCCATTCTGTTTTGGAAGTATTAACTTTTGTTCATGTAATAATATGCAAAAGAAGGTAATCAAGTTGTTGAAATGGATAAGGGTTTAGGGTCTATAAACATCCCGCTCATGCAATCCAAGTGGAATACATGAAAAATGAGCAAAACTATTTTTTATTTTATTTTAAAGATGACTAAAGAGGATTATGGTGTAGTGAGTGTGTGCCAACGACAACACTTCTACCTTTTCTAAAGTCAACCTTTTTAATTCTATATATAAAAGTCTTTTGCAATGGCTCCAGATTGTTCTGAAAAATAATATTGGTGTCTCCTGTAATATAGCTTTTTAATGAATTTGAGAAAGTTACAACTAACAAGTCATGAAAATTAGGGGATATATATGTCTTCGTTGAAGTTGTTTGTAACTGTAAATCTATATTTCCAGAAGGCAAAAGCTTCAAGGAAACGGTGAAAGTTACAAGTGTTTTTATGATCAAAGCAATTGATGATACTGTTTAAATTTGAATCAGATTTATTGGTTTAAAATCTAAACTAATTAAGTCTGCAATGGTGATGTGAATACCGTAGTAGAAAAAGCTAATCATATAAATTTAACAATACGTTAAAAATATTCCATACATATCCAGCTAGCTCAACCAATGAGAAGTTAGCAATTACCGATATCATTTGGTCTGTTGGTCGAATTATGGCAATATGTAAAACGTAACTTGTTAATTGTTATTGATAAGCTTGTTTTATTTCTTGTATGATAGTTGCTAATTGTCACCAAACCTTTTTACCATAAAACGTTTTATATGGTATGAGGTTTTTTACTTCGATGCATGAGGTCATTTTGACATCGACATAGAGTCATTCTTTCATCACCGATTCAGCATCAACCTGTTGAACATTAAGTGGGATGCTTAGACCTACTACTTTTCTTTAGGCATCGAAATTCGAATGTGTGAGTACTTTTCAGTTCTATCTTTTGATTTAAAAATCAAGATAGCAACAAAATGTTTTCGGTCGAGAATATGTTGAACTTTCAAAATAGACTTACATCTAGGCATCGATATTTTAAATCAGATTAACAAGGTTGAATTAAGAGTTTTGGTTATTCCATACATTATTATAAGTGAAAAGATTGGTGTAAAAGAACTATCTACACCTTATTTAACTAAAAGACAAGTTATGAAACAACAAACTGCTTTTTCGAATGTATAAATGAAATTAGAAAAAGCTGACTTTAGACGACTTTGGTTTGTTTTATCATTTAATTAATGAAAGGCATCACACAGAGAAGTGGAGAACAGAAATAAAAGTCAACCCGAATGAACCTGGTCAAGAAATACCAGACTTTGATTAGTGTGTAGAAAGTAAACGCCAGCTTTGGTTAAAGACCCTAGAAAAGTCTTATGCTTTCACATTTGAACGGAACTCCATTGGGGTTTTGGTAAACACAAAGCGAATATTTAAATACTATGAAAATAATAGATAAATGTTAGACCAACTTTTTTTGAACAAAAATGTTAAACCTACTAAAGTATATAAAGTCAATTTCATTATGTAGAGTTGTTTCCATATTTATATTCCTCACCAGAAACACCATCAACCCGACGACGACTTTCCCCTGTATACCAGTTACCACCACCTTTCAAAGCTAAAAATCTTAAGATTACAAGTAAATTAGCATATATAATTATAAGAAGTTATTCAGTTATTCTAATTACTGGGAGTCTACAAATTGTCTAGTACCTTTACATCTTTTTATTTCTAAAACCCTTTACATCTTTTTACTCTACTTTGACGTTAACAGATAAGACATATACCTTTATCATTTCTAATTTCTTAGAACAATTTGTATATCTCAACATAAATCAAACTACAACGGTTTTTTTTTTTAAAAAAAGAAACACTACAACAGTTAATGGCCGTAGGTGGTGAGTTTGTAACTCACTATTACAGTTGTTAATAGGTTAAATGCATAGTCGTCCATTTTTAACAACTATTTGGTCTGTCTAGAAAATCAAAACTATACCACCAACACAATGTTAATTTCTAAACACAAACCGTAATGTTTAGTAGCATGAAAATCATCATATAGTTGACATTGTTTTAAATATAATCTACTTGGCTATGCAAAGAGAGCTCAATGTGGAATCAAATCATGCAACAAATGAGTACTCAATAAGCGATGACAAGTCATAGGTGTTGACATAATCGCCTATGTTTGTTTTGGGAAATCTCGCCTATGTTCTAAACACATACAGAACATTTTTTATTGTCTTCAAAATTGCTAGTATAGTTTTCGGTGCAACTGTCAAATGGTATCGATTTAGAGCATGTTTATTGGGGGTGCTTAGGGAGGGTGCTTAAGGGAGTGAAATGCTTAGTTTTGAAGAGAGAGGGTCTTGAAAGTGCTTAATGAAGCACTTTCAACACTTTCTCCCTTCAAAACTAAGCACCCCACTTCTCTAAGCACCCTCTTAAGCCTCCTCCCAATAAATATGCTCTTAGATATATACTGACTTGTATGACTATTGTAATGTGAATAAAAAATGATTCTTAGTATTCTCATCAAGAAATTTTACATCTTTGTGTACAAAACCATCTTCAAGATGATCATAATATAGAATTATATTATCCTCATGAAAGAGGCTACGAGAGTAAAAATAAAAAATGTTGTTCTCAGTACAAGAATATTCCAAGAACAAGCTGTCTTCTTGATCCCAGATCCAATTCTCAAACTCCCCTCCCACTTCTTCCTCCAATGACGTTGCTTCAACGCAATCCTCTTCTTCTTCGTTACGTTTCTCTATCTCATTGCCTCTAACTTCAATCCAACCATCCTCCTCCGTAATCCACTCCGGTTCACCGGGATTCTCATCTCCGACGAGTTTCTTGATTCTATCAACCGGTGAAGAATTTACAAATGGGTCTTCATGATCCGCTTGAATGAACTGACTTCTCGAAGTTTCACATGAATCCCAAAAACCTTGATCCAACACAGTACTAGGAGAAGAAGAATTCTTCAGACAACAACCAAACTGAGTTTGAGTTTTGTCTTTTTCACCAAGAAACTGATGTTGAAGCAACTCTTCAACAGACCATCTCTGTTTCGGATCTCTTACCAGACACTTCCTCACAAAGTCTTTACCTTTCTCCGACAAAACCTCCGGAATCTCCGGCGACTCACCGCTGAACCCAATCTTATAAATCGCCGCCACGACGTCGTTTACCTCCGGCCAAGGCCTTAAACCCGTAGCCATCTCTATCACCAAACACCCCAAAGCCCACACATCAGCCGGACACCCCTGCTCCTCACCACGCGCCACCTCCGGCGACATAAACGCCGGTGTACCGGAAAACTCCAAACTCCCATTTCCCGCCATTTTAGCGCATCCCAAATCGGCGATCTTCGCTGTTTCCTCTCCGATCATAACATTCTCGCTCTTCAAATCGCAATGAACGATTCCTCTTTCGTGAAGATACATTAAACCTTTCAGTATCTGTCGCGTGTAGGATCTTATCTCCGTCTCCGGTAACTTCCCGCCGGAGTTCTTGATTAAATCGTGTATACTCCCGCCGGGAACGTATTCCATCAGGAGGTTATACATCAGTGTGTTGTTCTCCGTCGTTGTATTAGAACCAATGTACTTGACTACGTAAGGAGAGCTCAAACGGGATAAGATCGTTTGTTCTCTCTGCAAAAACGCCGATGAAGAAAACTCAGAGGATTTGACGGCGAAGAGATCACCGGAGTTTGTGGTTGCTAGTGAGACAGTGGCGGTTGAGCCCCGGCCAATGATTGGTCCTCTTATCCAGTTTTGTTCCTCCATTGAAACAGAGGAGGAAGAAAACAGAGGAGATAGATAGAGAAATAAAGTTGTAGAGAGAGAGAGAGAGGTTTTAAATGTTTAAGCAAAGAGTTATGATGTGATTGTTTATATATATACACTCACACAACACAACTCACGTATATGACTTTGGCATGGGGTTTTAGTTGGTGTCTTAATTCAAAGTCTGAACAGAGATTAGTTACATTCTTTTAATTTTTATTCTTATCCCTCCAATTATTAAGCACCAAAACTTTACCTTATCTTCCACTTTTAATTTTTAGATTATTGTTATCTTAGATCTGATACAGCCGTTTGAGTTGGAACTCAATATGAGATTATGTTAGAAAGGGAATAAAATATGACTTGATCATTGGTAATTAGTTATTCCATTAAGGAACCATGACCTAATCATGTTCTTGGATAGATTAGCAGACATTATTATATAACAAAGATTGAAATCTCATTACATTACATTGGTCTTTTGATTATTAGGTTCCAAATAGTAACGGCCAGGATAACTGCGTACGGTTCAAATAGTTACAAAAACATATAGATATATGGTATATGTCAAAAAATTATTATTATTATTATTCACAGTAGTGTGGTGCGGGATAGTTGGTTACCATTCAGAGTATTAGTTGATTATTTTCACGTCAAAGAAAAGTCATGAAGAAATGTTAAACTGTTTTTGGTTGGTAGAATGACACATAATTCAAGCACAAAAGTTTAAAATGAAAAAATGATATTGAAATGGATAATTGCCCATCAAAGTTTAATTCAGTTAATACACATCATGTATACCATTTAATACAAACTTTGAATGTTGTAAAGTTTGTGATAAGATTCTGTGATTGATAAATTTGGTAAATATGTTATTGGAAAAAGTAACAAAAAGATAACAATAAAACTCAAAAAGATAACACTACCTATATTAGATAAGTAATGTATGACATTTGTTTGCTTAATATACTAGCATACACTTTTGTATTTTTAGGATGTAATCTTTTAGTAAATTCAAACAATATTCATTAAATTAGTACAAAAATATTCGTTAAAATACTATTAGTAGCAGATTCATGAAATATTGATAATCTCTTTCCATAATCCCGTATTTTATGGAGTGCAAAAAATAATGATATAACTATTTGATCATATCATATATGCCTCTCATTCATTGTGATAACTCTGATGAATGCATACAATATCATATACCCAAATAATGATTATATGAAATTACTATTGACATTGATTTTTTTTTTTTTTGTAAACTGGCATCACCTATTAACATTGTTCTTATATCACTTCTGAACATATAACAAAACAATCACCCCTACCCCCTATTCCCCGGCTAATATTTCATTTCAAAAATTATAATGGATTCTATAACTTTCTTATTTTTTTCTTAAAATTGTATTACTCCCTATGTTTTTGAATAACTATCATTTTAACATTTTTTTGTTATACAAAAACTATCATTTTAGAACTTTCATTTCAATATTAATTTATAAATAATTTTATTTTATCTCAATTATTATGCATATGTAATCAAGATAACCATAAATAAATTTTAATAATTTTTTTAATCGGTGACTTTTTGTGAAACGGGTAAAGTATTATACATAGATTTTTTTTTTTTTTTTTTTTGTCCGCACCCCATATGAGTTAGATCAAGTGGTGGACAGACGAGTCGATCCTCCGTAGAGTATCTCCGTCTGGCCTGGTCTGATCTATATGGGAAAAAACCGTTCCTCTCCTCCTTGCTTCTTTGGCTAGTGCATCTGCTCGTCCATTTGAACTCCGGGGAATATGTGACAACCACACATCCTCGAAGCCCTCCCTTAGTCCTTGGAAAATCTCGATTTATGTAGTGAAGGCCGGCCAATTCTCCGGGTTTGTGCTCATGTCTACGAGATCCGAACAATCCGTTTCGATTCGGATTGAAGGGATCCGCATGTCTCTCAGACATGAGACTGTCCATAGTAACCCTTCCATCTCTGCATGCAAGGCTGAACGGCTCTTGCGACATGCTCGTAGTCCATACCACTCTGAGCCCATTTGATCCTTCAAACTCCACCCTAAGCCACTTACACTGCCTTGATCGATCCATGAAGCATCGATTTGGCAGGAAGGGATTCGGGAGAGCCCAGGGGACTCTATAGCGGCTGCTGCTGCATCCGGGCTCACCGCATGAACCCCATCGTCTTCATCTCGCTCGTTTGCCTTTTTCCAGCATTCTGCCTCGAGGGACGCATGCCGGAGGGTATCCAACGGGGAGACGACCTTCCCATTAAAGAGAGTGTCGTTCCTCGCCTTCCAAATGAACCAGCAGATCCATGGGAAGATGTCGAATTGTGGTCTCTGGGGAGCCACCTCTTTTCTCTTCCAAAAAAGGAAGCTTATATTTTGGTAGATAGATGTACTCGGGAAGACACCCGGAATGGACGGATAGTCCGATAAAGCCCAGACCTGCAGGGCCGGGGGGCACTCAAAAAGGAGATGATTAATCGACTCCACTGGGTCAGCACATCTAGGACAACTCCTATCGGTACCCAGGTGTCTGTAGGTGAGTCTCTCTGCTGTCGCTACACATCCTGATATAGCTTGCCACAAGAAGTGCTTCATCTTACTTGGAGCCTCGATCCTCCATGCATGGCTCTGAAGGGCAGTGATGCTTGGTTGTAGGACCAAGTCATGTGTGGGGCTTTGTTTCTTCGATTGTAGTAGGTCGTAGCCGGTCTTAACTGAATATACTCCGGTCTTCGTATAATTCCAGACATAACCATCCGGAGTGGAGGATCTAGAGGTTCTAATCCCAAGGATTAGGGCAATATCCTCTGGCTGGAAGTAGTCGTGTAAACGCTGAGTATCCCATTCCCCGGTATCATTCCTAATGAGGGCCTGAACGGGGAGCTGGGGCAGTTTATAGATTATGTGGTTGGCGGCCTTAGGTGGTCGGGCCACTGTATCGGGGATCCAGTTTTCACTCCACACCCTTGTGTTACGGCCTGAACCAATTCTCTTACGGAGGCCCGAGAGAAGTAAAGGCTTTGCTGCCATGATACTGCGCCACCCGTATGAAGGTGAATGTGACGGGCAATTCTCGAGGGGTGAGGTGTTCCTGAAATAGCGTCCTTTCAAAACTCGTGCAAGCAGAGAATTCGGGTAGTGAATCAGCCGCCATAATTGTTTCGCAAGAAGTGCTATATTGAAGTCATGAAGATCTCGAAATCCTAGTCCCCCTAAATCTTTAGGGGTACAGATCTTATCCCATGCTATCCAATGTAGCCCTCTGCTGTTCTCCTTTGAGCTCCACCAGAAGTTTGAGGTCGTACCCCTCATTTTCTCGATGATACCTTGGGGGATCAAATAACACGACATTGGATATGTCGGGACTGCTTGCGCCACTGCTTTAATCTGAACTTCTTTCCCTCCTTTTGATAGTAAACGCGATGACCAATTGTTCACTCGTCCATTCATTCGGTCTTGTACATAAGAGAAGACTTTAGTCTTGGACCCTCCAATGAATTCAGGTAAACCAAGATACATTCCCATGCCTCCTTCCGTCGAGAATCCCAAGATCTCCTTTATTTCTTGTTTCCTATCAGAATCCACCCGGTTCCCAAAGAACATCGAGGATTTGGCCGCATTCAGTTTTTGTCCCGACGCTTTCCCGTAGATATCGATAATATCCATAATCTCCCTGCATTGGCTTATTTCCGCCTTGCAGAAGAAAAGGCTGTCATCGGCAAAGAGGAGATGGGAAATTCTTGGGCTCGCTTGAGCCACCCGGAGGCCTAGCAGCTTCTTTTCCGCTTCCGCTCCATTTAGGAGTGAGATCAAGGCTTCTGTGCAGAGGATGAACAGGAAGGGGGATAAAGGGTCCCCTTGTCTCAAACCTCTCTTAGGTAAGATCTGTCCCCTTGGTTGGCAAAACATAGATACGTTGTGGCCCTTCAATTTATTTCTCAGACATTTTGTGTGCAAAGGCGATGGGAACAAACGTGGCGGGACAAGATTGGTTGATGACAGCTTTGACGGCATGACGCCAGAGTGGACGGCGCCGTAACTTTCATCCACCAATAAGGCGAGAACAAAAGCGCAACAAAGGGTTTTTTTAATTTAAAGGTTAGTTGCTAGGGGTTTACTCACGACAATTAATAGTTACAGAATCAATTCTCATTCGTTGTGATTTTATTTTATTTCATCTTGAAAGAGGGTTTCATTGCTACCTTATTGGTTTAATTTTGTTTATATGTTTTTAATTCAGAATTTGTTACGAATTAGTCATAGCTATTACTACCGTCCCTTATTCCAGTTGCTGCTACACAGGGCCGTGCCTGAGAAATATTGGCCCACAAGCCAAGAGAATTTTTTGGCCCTTTCAATTTATAAAAATCGTAAAAATACTGAAAAATGTAGGTGTAGGTACTTGAACCCAGGTCTTTTAATACACAGGTAGTAACTACTACCAGTAGAGCCGGAAGTTATTTCTGTCATAATTGGCCCCATAATAATATATATTTTCTCGGGCCCTGAAGCATATGCTTCACTAGCTTTTATTCAGGCACGGCTCTGCTGCTACAGTGCTAACAGTTTGAAAGCACTGAAATGCGAAATTGCAGCTGCATTATGTGAACTTTCTTTAATTGGAATGCAAGCTGGGGGTTAAGAAGATTCTATAAGGAAAAAGGTAACAAAAAAAAAGGTGTTGGGAAAATTTATTCGCATCTCTACTTTGCTTATAGAATACAGTTGGATTCAGACCGTTTGCTTTCCTCCTTTTATTTAACATCCAGACTGAAATTAAATAGTTGAATTTAGTTTGAGATGTTGATTAATAATTGCAAACTTTGTTTTTGGCTTTAGGGGAATGGACGGCTTAGACAAACACGGCTTCATACATGTGATGTGATTGGGATCTAAAGAAAGCGTGAAGTGAAAAAGTGAAGACTGAAGTAAAATCACGCTATGTTTTTTTATAGCGTGATTAGCAAGGTTTTCTCTAGAGACGTTCTTTTGTTTTATGCTATTGCCTTACATATTCCACTTCTACTCTTAGTT